ATGGATACTGACTCAGCATACATGGCTTTTAGTTGTGAGAAACCTTTTCAGAACTGTATTAAGCCTGAGCTACAAGAGCACTTCCAAAAGCATAAATACGAATGGTTCCCACGCGACTACAACGATGAGGTAGCGAACTTCGATCGACGTACACCAGGCTTATTCAAAGATGAATGGACAGGTAATGCGATGGTCTCTCTCTCATCCAAGAACTACATCTGCTACAAGGGCAAGGTTTCAGCAAAGGGCGTTCAGCAAGGTCGTGGTCGCAATGAGGATGTTCTAAACCCAAAAGGTTTCGAGAATGTTGTCCGAGACCGTATCACGCTACAAGGTACCAACAAGGGGTTTCGACTTAGCAAGGAGACAAAGTCCATTATCACGTATAGTCAGACGAAGACGGCTTTGTCATATTATTACGATAAGCGCCGAGTCCTCGAAGATGGCATCACGACTGCTCCATTGGAGATATAATTCATATGCTTCTGGGAGGAAAGCCTATTTTTTATGACATCTCATATAGGAGTAGCTCAAACATGGATGATCTATTACACAAGCTGTACTATGATCCCAAGACGGGTTATATTGGAGCTCAAGCGCTATATCAAAAGGCAAAAGATTTAAACCATAAAATTACGTTTAAAATAGTCAAAGACTGGTACCAGAGCCAAGCTGAGATACAACGATTTCAAGATCAGAAAAAAAAACGGTTCGATGTGTTCAGGATTGCTTCTCATAACCCCAACTCATGGCAAATAGATCTAGCGTTTTGGGAGAAGAAACCAATTTTGACTGCGATCAACATCAACTCTCGGGTTGGGTACGCAACGCTTCTATCAAGCAAGACCGCGCCAGTAGTATTAGCAGCTATGAAGGCTTTTATACGGATACATAAAGTTAACATCATCACAAGTGATAATGGAAGTGAATTTATGAACGCACAGCTTCAAGCGTTCCTTAAAAGCAAATATATCGATCATTTCAACAACGAGCCTGGCGATCACGGAAAGATGGGGAAAATTGAGCGATTTAATAGGACAATCAAGCAACGACTAACAAAGATATCACCAAGCGTATATCCCAGAAGCTGATAAGCGATGCCATTGAAAACTACAATTCTAATTCAATAGGTCCGTCGGTATGACCCAAAACGAAGCCATAGGAAAGGTAATGGAATCAGAACTTACGCACTACCAGGAAGAAGCTGACAAGGTCGGTTGGGGTTGGCTCACACGTTATGTATCGTCTAAAAAAGCAGGCGTTTGATAAAGAAGCTGCTAGATGGAGAAAAGCCATCTACACTATAGTTGGTATCAATGGATATCGAGTAGAAATCAAATCCAAAAATGGGTACACGCTCTACAAAGCTCTAAATGATCTCAAAGCGGTTCAATCTGAAGCGACGGACGCAACTATAAATCGAGGGGATATTATCGAGGCGAAGAGGATATTGGATGCCAAAAAATGCGGAACGGGAAGTATAAATACCTAATCAAATGGGTCGGAAATGAGCCTGATAATCTCAGGCTTATTAATAAGAACAAGATGAGTACTTTGGAAAAGAATTACTTCGCCACGGTCGGAGCCAGTAAGTAAGCCTCAATATCAAGTGATTTAAGATCATTAGGTAGTTTTACCGCTTGAGGCTTCACTACCTCTTTTAGCTCAAAGTGGTATGGTTCATTTATTTTTTTTTAGCAGAGTCCTTACTACTTTAAGAGGGGTAGAGTACTCGCTGTTATGAATAGCATAATCGCAGTCAGGTTCATCAATATAATCAACGCCATACATGTTTTCGCTATATTAATAGAGAGCAAACTTTGTTTGCGATTCGACGACATAAGTCGCCTTGATAAAAGCCCTGATAACGCGGGTGAAACCCCGTCCGAGCGGACTCTGCCCTGGCATGACTTGCTGCGCAACGACCAAGCCTGACGAGCAATGCTCGCGAGAAGCGCTCGCCTCCGGATATTGCTTCCAACATGAAAAAGATCACAAGATCCAGATGTTCAAAAAGGAGCTCAAAAAGATGCATCAACGTGTTCGTACTTTCAGTGAGAAGCTTAACGCTTACCATCGAATGATAGTAGATATCAATCGCTGTGATTATATCAAATATCGACTGGATCAGCTGGAACAGCATAGACCTTATCGCTTCATCTGGAACGATACTCGTTTTAAAGAGGAGCTTGAAGAGATTTTTGACCTCCCCTTCGATGAGTGCCAGCAATCCTATTTCTCATTGCTCGATAGGAGGAATGCAATAGTTCATTAATATACAATGAAGAAATGGGCTGAAGAAAAACCTGAGGCTATCCAATATCAGTCAAAATTTCGTAAATAAATATCGGTATTGATAAATAGTACACAAACATGTTTCCAAACTTCACTTCATTAGCTCAACGCGAGTAAAAACGACTTGACCTACTTGAACGCGTCAAGCACCGTGTAAGGCAAGAAGAGCAGAAGCGAGGAATGTACGCAGATGCTCAATGGGCATCAGATGTCATCAATACCATCTCGTTCTCTAAACAATCCACTCAGGATTCGTCTATTCAGACTGATGATGGTCTATCAAAAAGCCTCCAATAGTAATTGATACCACGGTAGGGTCGCAAGACGAACGACGTTCAAAGTCGGAGACCCTCGGACCGAGTTCCGAGAGCCCCCTCTCCCTTGCCTACGTCCTGGCCTCGCTCGAAACTCAAACACCATTGGAGGAAATTGTGGAAGAACCTGTGGCTACTGAGGACATTTCAACTAACGCTCAAGAAATCCCTAAAGATAAAAGACGTTGAGGTCGGAGACTCTCGGACCGAGTTCCAAGATCCCCCTCTCCCGTCTTCAAAAGAAGAAGAAACTGAGGAAACGATCGAACCACAATTGGCTGCTGAAAATGAATCTCACGAATTTCGCATTGGGTTATATCAGCGTAATCCAGTACTATCAAGATTTAAGTTCCTCCCTCGCGATATGAATGCGCGACCAATGAACAAATATTACATCGGAAAAGATGGTGATATCTTTAGAATTTCATCTAATCGCAAAGTTAAGTCGATTTCACCCAAACTTAGTTGGATTGTGTCTGAAAGCTATGTAAGGGATATGATTCGAGGTGATGAAGGAGTTAGAGATGCTATACTATTATACTTCAAGGACCAAGAAGAAGAAATGAGAAAAAAAATCCGCTATTAAGTTATCCACTAAGAGTGCTGATACTGTAGAAGACCAAAACATAAGTGAGAACAACTTTATTGGTTCTTATCATTCTATGGAAAACTACTTCAAAAGAATCGTATACCTATTGAGCCTATTTTTAAGCATGGAGGTTATAAATCGGATGACTATTATCTAAAGCAAGACGCCCGTGAAGGTGAGTTCAAAGTGATTAATTATCGCTCGAAACGTGAAGCTACTAGTTTGAAAAATGATATTGATTATGTTGCTACGCAGAGCTCGATATTACAGAAGGTTAAAGCTGAACATCTTGATGTTGGAACAACGGAAATGGATAAAATCATTCATGCTGATCATTCAGTTATCGACCTCAGAGTCATGTTATATATCAGGGGGCAAACCGCTTATATTCACTTCCTCAATTGGTACAAAGCAAAGGGTGATAACCATCAGTTTGGTATTAGAGTCATAAATCAAGCTGATGCTAATAACGAAAGACGTAGTACGCACCCTCTTGCAACTGGGAAATATAAAACAGACTTAACCCTTTCGCGAGCCACTTTAGTAAACTATAGTATACAAATATAGGATAGTCGGTATCAAAAGGAGGCATTTTGCATCCTTTAAGGCGAGTGATGGACCACCTTCAAATCTTCCAAATGTGATTTTCTCGGTTTTTCTATGCCCATAACGACCTGTTGTAAACGTACTTAATTGTAAAAGGAGGCATTTTGCCTCCTTTAACATGGATACATCGTCGTACTTAGTTGAAAACCAGGAAAAGGGGGCATTTTGCTTCCTTTTATCGCGAAAGAGTTAACCCCGTCCCTCCCGACGTCTTAAGTTACGCCATACGAAAAAAAAAAAACTATGTCGTACCTTACGACGTACGTCGTGTGACAATAGAAAATGGCTCGGGCAATACTTCAATCAGTATATTTTCAAACTGATAAGATGCGAGAGGTCACAGGGAAAGTGAACAGAGACACAACAGGGGTAGGGATCAGGAAAGAGATACGGCTCAAAAGGATACGCAGATGCGGAAGGCACAACTGCCAGTCATTCTAGAATTTGCAAGATGACGCGCATCCGGGCCAGTGCCCGTGGAAAAACAGACGTGGTAGGCGCAGTGGCTCGAGACATTGACTTCCGCCATTTGTGGCGTCAGCTTCGCGGGGCCGGATGGACGTCCAAGCGACCCCGTGGCATGCAGACTCAATGGAGGTGTGTGAGTCCTGGTGGTGTTCATTCGTTTGTTGGTGAGGACGCCGTTGTCGTCCATGCTATTGAATCTGGACTGCTATACGTTGACGATGTTGAGAGCGAGGTTGACGCGGTGGGCGATGGCGTTGAAGCGGCTGAAGTTGTGGCGATTGGCAATGAAGGGAGGGCAGAAGCTGATGCAGATGAAGACATCTGTCCATCCCAGATTGACACTAGTGCTCAACTCTCACAGAACACACTAATTGAACTCTTCGGGTCTGAGAGTGACTCAGAGGTTGATCTCTCGCAGGCCGCTGTGACCAGAGCCTTTGACATCTCACCTGGTGACCTTCATGCAGCAGACTCCCAGCGAGATTGTGATGCCAACCTACAACTACTATCAGAAGTGTCAGGGGCTGAGAGCGACGGTGCCCAAGTAGATGCTGCTGCTGTTGAAGTACGGTAACTCGACTAACCCGGGACACTCGCAGGAGGCACACAAGCGAGTACGATCTGCTCCACGAACCGAGCAAGATAAGTGGATTCGTTACACCAGTGTCCCATCGGGCTATTATGCTCATCCTGAGAATGCTCCAGATGGTCGACGTTGCGAGCTTCGGAAATGCCCACCAGGATATAGTTGCTGAGGTGGAGTCCGCGCACTTTCTTATCTATTTCCTGCTTCAGGTTGTGTGGACAAGAAGCACACTCTGAATGTTAACGAAAATGACGCTGGATTTGTTTCAAGCGTCAGTTTTAATCTGGATGTCTCTCCTGCTGGGATGGCGTACCAACTCAAAGCTCCGGTAGATGGTTTATTTACGTTGGATAACCAAAACCGCGCAAAGCTTCTAAAAGCTCTAGATTATGAAGCTCGTAACGCACAGTAGAAACCGGCCGTACAATTCTGCGGATAGCGATAGCCTCCCACTCGAACCTCTTCAGCTACGACTCCGTTGAGACTGTACCCGATCGACACGGATATGGTCTCAACCTCGTATCGTTCCGGAACCCGTCGGACATGGCTGTTCCTTCGAGGCAGTAGCATCCTCTTGGACAAAGGATATTCGGTGACGCGAGCGCTACCTTGCTGCACACGTACCCAGACGGACATAACGCAGGCATAATTCGACCGTAACCCGGACAGATCAGTTTAGGAGGTACTAACACGGGCAGAGTCAGCATCGGCACCACTTCTCCTCTATATAGACTTTATTGTGCTATTCAACACACTGCTGGCCAACAGGTTTCAAGCTGATCCCTGTGCCGGAACGTCGCCTTCCCTATTTTTTATTTACTTTCTCTCTTCTCGTAGCTAGCCTAGACGCTAACTAAAGAAGTGTTCGTCTTTGTGCTTCGTTCTTCGTGTTCCTCCACTCCGTAGCGCGTCCACTACAGTTGGTCGGATGCGTCCGTAATGTCCAGATCCGCGTACTTAACCTTAGCAACGACCTTCAATGTCGCCACTTCGGCCCTCCGTCAGTTTTCTTCGTAAACGTGTAGTTCTGCCGGGGGGCGCTTCTCTGTCGACTCCGTCCGCCTTCGTTCTTCGTTTGTCACCTACTTACGCGCTCACTCCTCTATCGGGTGCCACAAGCAAAGACAACACACCTCGTGCGTCTGCCTCACTCACTTGTGTTCTGCCCGCCCGATTTCAGAGTGAGTGCTTCTCACTCCTCCTTATGGTCGCGTGTTCTCTCCGCCTGCGACCCTTCACGGTTCCGTTACGAACGATCCTGCGTGTCCACCACACGTTGTTGGGTTCATTTGACTCTTCGTCGGAGCCGTTCATCCACCGGTCCTGCTGGAAGATCTCACCCGCAACCGTCGTGACTACATCGTGCCACACCAACCGGTTACACGCCTTCTTCATTTGTAGAGTCTTCCACGACTCTACCGGCCTAAAAGTACTCTTCGTACTCAGCGACCGACACCCATCGGGCTCCGTCGTCATCATGTCCTCCCCGTGATCGTCGCTTTGCAAGTCGTAACTCGTACTCCAGCACGTATTGTCCGGCCTTGTTGCGCCATCGTCGTCGTCGGGTTTCCACCAGTCTTGCACTCGACTCGTTCCATCCTTCTTCTCGCGCCATTGTCGTGCTTTCTCGTCTCTTGCCCGTTGTTCCAGTGGCTGCCTGCACTTCTGCCGTCATTGTGCGTGCAGTCTCCCTTGGCGCCTCGTCATCGTAGCTTTGGGCTTCATACTCGAGTTGTGCATTCAGACCGGCTGCCGCCTTCGTTAGTAGATCAGATTGTGTATGATATGTCGTTAAGAAACTCACGTGCGCTATAAATTTCTCTGGTCCGTTGTTCTGATCTTCTCGTCGATCTAGGTAGTTTTCGTAGCCAACGGGTTCTACATTTCGTAGTGGCCCGATCCACAAATGTACCAACTTCGTCGATTTTGACCCTTTTGGAGGTCGGAACATCCAAACTCGATCTACTCTTGCAAATCGCCTCGTAGTCTTGACTCGTCGGTTGTAATACTTGGCTTGTTGTGCTTGCTCCTTTCTCCGGGCTCGTTCTGCGCATTCATGACTATTCTTCATCGCTGTTAACAAAATCCGATGGTATTCCGTCAACGTACCCGCTTCCATCACAGTTGTTCTACGCAACAGCTCGTTTGGTGGTCGTAGCCGTCGACCCATCATCAGTTCATTCGGTGAAAGTGCCACTGTGGAGCGTTTGCCAGAGTTGTATGCGTACACAACAAAGTCTACCCTATTATCCGAGTCATTCTGATCTTCGCTCTGCATATACGTACTCACACAATCCTTCCACGTCCTGTGGAATCGTTCCACAAGTCCAATCATCTGTGGTCTGTAAGGTACCGGGTTTATTTGTTGTGCTTGTAGTAATGACACTAGCTGCTCAATCGCTAATCCCGTCAATTCAGGCGCTCCATCAGTTAATAGTTCACGAAAGGCTCCAAATTTCAACACGATGCTCTTCATTATGAATCTTGCGACGTTCTCCGAAGTATGATGCTCCACCGTCGTCGCTACTGCGTATCTAGTCATATATTCAATCGCTGCAATTACATAGCGTTGTCCTCCTCCAGTTTGTGGTAGTGGTCCTGCTACATCTAGCGCCCACCTGTCGCCAACGTCACCGCCCTTCATACTTCGTAATGGTGACACCACCTCTCTCGGTCGCGCCTTCCTGCTTCCGCACTCTTGACATCCAGCTACCCATCGTCGAACTTTACGTTGTAAGTCTGGCCAGTAGTAAAGTTGAGCAATTCGTGCATACGTGTGAGGTGCTCGCAAATGACCAGCCCATATCGAATCGTGGTTGTCTTTAAACATCAAGGGCCAGGGTTCGGGAGGTAGGACAATTCGTAGACCACTCGGCGTCGTAATTAATACCAACCCGTACTCAGTGTTGACTGTCATGCCCTTGTATTTGCCATCCTTCAACATCTTCTGCACTAGTCGACTTCGTTTCTGTGCTTCTTCAATCGTATCATCAGTAAGCTGTAACGTATCTGTCTCCGGATTCCTTCTCGAATTGGTTCTCGATTTGTTCGTTGACTGCTCTTCTGTGTTCGTACGTTGATGGTGCTTTCTGGTCTCCGCTCGTCTCGTGACACCTTGTCATTCTCGGTGGTACTCGTCGTCCCCGTCGTTGCGGTTGACGTCGTCGTCGTACGTTTGTTCATGGCCCACGTCACTCGTTGCGGTTTCTTCTTGTATTTTACTCGTTCATGGGCGTCGTTCTGTTTCGCCTTTAAACCGTGCTGAGGGACGGATGGTCCTTGTTCTAGCTCACGTGTTGTTGATCGCATGATGTCGTCAAGTTTTTGCGATGTTGGTGTCGTAATACTACTTGCCACTTGTTCTGGTGCTAAGTCTGGCTCGTGCTTCCCCGTGCTCGCCCTTACAGTGTCGTTCGTCGTTTTAGTCGCATTTTCCAGGCGTCGCTTAGTTGCTCTCGTCATTGGTCGCGTCGTTTCATTTGCCCTTGGTGATCTACTTCGTCGTCGGGTATGAGCGTCACTGGTAGGTGCGTTCGTCTCGTCTCGCGTGGATGCGGCCTCTTTAGCGTCGTTGTTGGCGTCGTTCTCGACGTCGTCATTGGTGTTAGTCGTCGTCTTAGATTCCGCTATCACTTCACCGCCGTCCTTGGTCGTCGTGTCCGAGGTCGTCGTCGTTTTAACCGTTTCTTCAACTGGGCTGGTGTGCTCGCCTTCTTCAGTTCTCAGTACCACTTCATCGTCGTCTGATGGTGCTGCACGTACCGCTACTGTTTCGTCATTCAGAGGTTCTTCCTCGTCGGTTTCTTGGCGTGGCGCCAAGATTCGTCCTTCTGGTTGTGTGTTCTCCCGCGTTTCGGCGTTGAGTTCACCATGTGGTTCCTTCTGAATCATCTGTGGAGGTTTCTCTAGCGTCGGGCTTACGTCACATGCATCACTACCAATTGTCTCGTCGGCTGTGGTTCATCGTTTACGTCTTCGTCGTCCAATGGCTGCTAACGTTTTCACAGGTGCTCGACTCAAGGCATCTGCGCGACGTTGTTGCTACCAGGGCGATACTGAACATCGAAATCGTATTCTTGAAGTGTAAGCACCCATCGATGTAGTTTGCCTGTTAAGTTACTACTCGTCATTAGCCATTTCAACGCAGCATCATCAGTAATAATAGTAAATTTGCGACCATATAAATAAGGTCGGAAGAGCTTGATTGACCAAACAACTGCGAGACACTCTAGTTCCGTGATCCCGTATATTGTTTCCGTATCCTTGTTCACCTTACTTGCAAATGCGACTGGCTGCCATCCTCTGCCTTGATCTTGCATCAGAACGGCAGCAAGTCCAATCGTACTAGCATCTGTAACCACTCGAAATGGAATTCGAAAGTCAGGATACACCAACAGTGGTTTTCTCGTCAAAATCTCTTTCACGTGTTCGAATGCAGCTTCCTGAGCTTCGGACCATTCCCAATCCGCATTCTTCCTGAGTAGTCTAGTCATCGGTGCCATAAGTGTTCCAAATCCTTCCACAAATCTTCGATAATAGCCCGCTAAGTGTATGGATCGTTTAATTTCCGTTGCATCCGTCGGTCTTGGAAAGTTGCGTACTGCGTTCACTAATCTGTCCAATGGGCGAACTCCTTCAGAACTTAACTCGTGACCAAGATACTCCATACTCCTCGTTGCAAATATACATTTCTTCAACTAAAGAGTGAGACCCGCGGCAGCCAAACGCTCCATAACACAAGCCAACTCTAAAACATGCCGTTCTATTCCTCCTCGGGTGTAAATCACTATATCATCCAAATACACTAGACATGTGACCCAATTTAATCCACGTAAAACGGTGTTCATCATTCGTTGGAAAGTTGACGGTGCATTTGTGAGTCCAAACGGCATACGGACAAATGGGTACAACCCGCGTTTTGTCGTGAAAGCCGTTTTTTTCCTTGTCCTTGACCGCTAATCGAATTTGCCAGTATCCGGATCGTAGATCAAGGGAGGTGAACAGAAGTGCGCCCCCCAAAGCTTCAAGCGTCTCGTCAATTCGTGGTAGAGGGTAGACGTCCTTGCGTGTGATCTTATTTAATGCACGATAATCAACGCAAAATCGTATTTCTCCATCTTTCTTTTTAACCAATACTACCGGAAAACCCCAAGCGCCATTTCCTTCTTCGATCACTCCGGCTCCAAGCATCTTACGCACGTTCGACTCCACCACTTCGTCGTCCATCCGCGCTTGGCGTCGTCGTTTGAGCATTATCGGTGCAGCGTCACCGGTATCAATGTGATGTTCTACGTTTAATGCAGTTGTAGGCGGACAATCACCCGTGTCTTCTACCTATTTCCGATATACGCGCAGTAGCCGTCTTATCAGTTCTCTTCCGCCCTCGTCTTCCAGTCCAATTTGAACATCATCTTCATTTTCCAACGGTGTTTCACTATCGCCAAGTTTTCGTAGCCAGTCACATAGTTGTTCCCGTCCTAACACTCCGTGCATTTCCAAGACTTCGACATCGTCGTCAAGTGAAATCCACGTCCCCAACTCCTTCCGTGATAGTAACTTCACTCTTCCATCGCTAGCATTGATCGCTGGTACCCAGGTCTTCCCGTTCTTGACCTTCGTCACAGTTGTAGCTAACATTACGGAGCCCAGTTGTACAGTAGGTACGAATACGCCACGTTCTCCATCACCTGCCGCCACGGCGATCTCAATTGGTGTTACTGTACGACGTCCCAGGTATGTTTTGGTTACCATACGTACTGCTGCATTTTCACAGTACTCGTTGCTCCACTGGTTCGAAATGGTATCACTACTGCTCGTTCTGCTTCATTATACTTCAGTTCATTTGAGCGGAAGTCCATTGCTGCTTCATGTACTTTGAGGAAGTCAACACCAATTAGAAATTCCTCCAAACAACCCTTAACAATACACGCATCCATCTTTATGACGTCCCCAAAAACCGTCTTCATTTCGAATCACCATACTCCCAGCACATCGAGTAAGATACCGCCAATACCTTCAACGTAGTCTACGGGTGAATCGTACGACACTAGTTCTCCGTAGTTCATCCAGCTTGTGCCAGCAACAGTGTACCTGGCCCCACTGTCCAACTTCACCATCTTCGTGATGCCATCCACCGTCATTCGTGCCGTTGGCAACCCGTCATCAGCTTCAACTTCGTATTGTGGCTCTTCGTCGTGTTCTTCACCCCCTTCTCGTCGTGCGTGATAATGTACCAGGCGGACTTTCGTGAGTTCCTCGCCCATTCGTTCTTTCCCACCTCGCTGTTGGCACCGACGTACTTCCAGGCGTCGTACGGCTTCATTAGCACGTCCTCGACGTTCACGTCGCCCTTCTTCTTCTGCAATTTGTTGATTCTCGGCTGCTGAAGCGGCGCTTCGTCGTCGAGCTATTGCACGCTTGACCCGCTCGCGTTTCTTCTGGTTCCTCACAAGTCTTCGTGCCTGTCGGATCTGGGCAATGTTCTAGTTCGCACCGTTGTCATGCTCGTCCGTTAGTACGCTCGTAACCGCCGTCACCACACTGTCTCGCATGTCCTCCGTACGCTCCAACACTTGTCTTTGGCCCGGGTTGGCGCCTTCTTCCGACCGACCGTGATTCTCGTCACTTAGTTTTACTACGTCAGCCGACTCGTCGTTCACGTCGTCTTGCACCACCACGCTACCACAATGTACATACCGCACCGTCGCCATCGCCGGTCGTACAGTAGCCACGTATCGTGCAGCTCGTTCATCGTCCTGGTCACTCGAGTCGATGATCATCTTCGACCACAACTCTTCCAATTCCTCATCGTAAGTCGCTAGTGTCGCGTTCGACACTCCGTCATTGTTATCAATCTTCACATCCGTATTGTCATCGTCATCTTCTCCTTGCCTTCTCGCACCGTCTTGGCATCGTCCTGATGGTTGTTCGCCGCTTGTCGACTCGTGCTCCTGGCGTGTATCATCCATCATCGTCCTGCCTCTCTCCTTTCGGGGATCCTGGTTATCCGAGCGCCGTAGTCCCCTTACTGCGTCGGCTTCCCGTTTTCCGGCGTCTTCTTGTCCTCTTGGCGTTTCTTCAGGTATTCTTGGTTCCTGGTCCTGGCACCTTCGTCAGTGCAGTCCTTGGCGAAATGACCGAACTGATTGCAAGCATAGCATTTCGGATTGAGCCATCCAGTGTCCCAGCTGTCCACATCGTCGACAACTCGGATGACCTGCCGACACTTGTGCTGATGGCCTTCGTGCCAACTGCCCACCATTCGTCCGTTGTTCAGTACGTGGCTCAGCTCGTGGTTCCGTCGTCTGCCGCACAGCTGCCTTCATTCTCTTTTTCGGTGGTCGCACATCCGATTCGTCACTGCTAGATGGAGCTGGCGCGATTCTCGTCTTGGACGTTCTGGCCGGCTTCTGCGCGTCTTTCAGTTTGGGCGATGGCTGATACTCGGGAGAGCGCTTCCTGGCGTTCTTCTTGGGTTCATACCAGAACTGTCCGTTCCAAACGCGTCCCGGTGGTACATCCCACGTACCCGAGTACTTATTCCAAACTCCAAGAGGGTTAGTGAACAGCGCTACCGCTTCACCATCGCCATCCGTCGTCGTTGTACCGTGCAAACCTCCCGGCATCAGCTCCGTTGACAACCCGGTTCCACCAATCCCCGGAATCACAAGTGTTTGACCTGTCGTACCATCCACAGGAACTAAGTACGGACTTGGCGCCGTCGCCCACGGTTGTCCGATATTCATCATTCCTAGAGCAACATTGTCCATAGAATCATCGATTTCATTTGCCTTATCAACGGCTTCTTCTAGAGTCCTTGGCTTGGGTCGTTGCTTGACTAGTTTCTTCGTCGTCTTGTCAAGGCTTCTATAGAATTGTGCTAACAACACGCGTTCACTAACCTTGTTCCATCCTACTACGTCACGAAGAGCTGCTGCAAAGTCAGCATAAGTTTTTCCAGGCATCATACGACGCATATTGACCCTCCACTCGGCAGCTGATTTATCCAACTTTTCTCCATGTCTACGCAACAGCGCCTTCTTCAAGTTGGTCCACGTACGGTCACGCTTGGGCAGTCTCCTGTTCATATTAACCCACCAACGCGCCGCAGTATCCATGATCTTATTCCCTAAGATGAAGTACAGGGTGTGGTCAGACCACTTGCCACGTCCCGACTCCGCTGCACCTTTCAATGCCAAGTCTACGTGATCAATCCAGGTCGAGACCGAAACTTTAGGAGATGGAGTGTAAGTTGGTAATTCCAAGTCTTTAACGCTTCTCTTCCGGTTTCGATTCCTTCGTTCATGCCGCTCTCGTTGTATGTATCGTTCGTGATGGCCGCGTCGTCGTCGTTGATCTCGTCGCTGCCGTCGACCTCGATACTCTTCTGGTTCATTACCGGAGTCCCTGCTGCTACTGCTCGGATCCTGGCTGTCATTGGAGTCGTTGTCACTGCTATCGGACCCATCGCTCGCATCCTCGTCAGACTCATCCTCGTCGTCACTGTCCTCATTGCTGCTCTCGCTTGGACTGTCGTTACCGCCATCGTCCGACGCACCACTGGAACTGTTTGGTCTCGAAGACGACCCGTCATGTGAACGCCCTCATCATGGTTGTCGTATTGGTTCCGGCTGCAACCTTGCTACCATCGTTGCTAAGTCGTTTATGGCCGTGGCCATAGCCGCCATCTCTCCACCGTTATTCCCCGCACCTTCATTATCGGTTGCACCAGCAGCCCGTACACTTGAGTGTGGACTTCCTTCATGATCCAACGTTCCACCGGCATTGACCCCGGCTTGATCATCCCCTCGCGCTCGTGGTACCCGTGGAACACCTCGTTGACGTTGCCTTTCAACTGTTCGTCGGCGTTCACCATCACGTCCACTGCCAGCAGTCTCCTCCACTGTCTTCGTGAGTTGCTTCATAGTCGATGCCATCTTCTTAATGTTCTCCGATTCCACGTGTGATGTCTCGTCGTGTTTGCCCTTCTTACCCTCGTCATGGTGATCCCCCACTGGTGGTTGCAGCGATACCTCCGGGCCTTGGTGGTCGGTCATCCCTTTTGTTTCTTGTGCGTCCTTCACCTGTCGTCGGGTCACTCTTACCGCACGCGACCTCAGAATGGGCCTCCTTGCTGCTCGTCCTTCTTGGCTCCGTGTCACAGGACGTCTGGTGTCCGAATCTGTGCTACTTGGCCAATCTTCGTCACCTGGCTTCCGTATCTGTCGAGCCTTCTGCACTCTCTTGCTCATAGTAGTTGTCGTCGTTGTACTCGTAACCATTTCCAATCAAATCTTCGTTTCCTTTACTTGCGTTCGAGTTTGTTTTAGTAGGCCCCGTCGTTTCTTTTAATATGGCCCCTGTATGACCACCATGAAACGAATCCACTTATCTTGCTCGGTTCGTGGAGCAGATCGTACTCGCGTGTGTGCCTCCTGCGAGTGTCCCGGGTTCATCGAGTTACCGCACTTCAACACACTGCTGGCCAACAGGTTTCAAGCTGATCCCTGTGCCGGAACGTCGCCGTCCCTATTTTTTATTTACTTTCTCTCTTCTCGTAGCTAGCCTAGACGCTAACTAAAGAAGTGTTCGTCTTTGTGCTTCGTTCTTCGT